TGTGCATTTTTGTGGGAAAATTATGCAATATAAACATGCAAGCATAAAATAAAATTTTTCTTTCCCCACTAGCTTTGTTTTCTGGTTTCTCTTCACAACATTACAACACCATTATATTCAGCATACCACTATTACAATCATCACCTGCCATTAATAGCAAAACCATTCTTTTAAATTTTGGAAAATTTTTTTTTCTAACCTTTTTGTGTAGGTATGTTTTAATTTAATACTCGTACCTTTAATTTTTGTTTTTCATATTCATCACTGTCAACTAAAATTTTAGGAATTTCAATTCAATTTTTTTTTTGATATTTTTGGTGACTTTCAATAAAATAAGGCAAAAAACTTTTAAAAAACCAAAAGCAAAATTTTTTTTTTTCAAAATTTTCAATTTTTTTTTAGTCCTTTTTTTTCCATATCCGTTTTTATTTTTTTTTGTCTTTTGTTTTACATGAAAATTTGAAGCTTTTTTTGTTCAAATTATTCGCTTTCTTTTTTTTTGCTTTTTTTTGACATATCACGCTATTCAATATTAAATATGAAAAAAAGAAGGAAATTTAACAAAAAAAAAAAGAAAAATTTAAAAAAAGAATTTCCTCTTCTGTAAATAAAATCGTATTTTCTTTTCGAAAATAAAATTTATTTAAATTATTTCCTCATAAGTATAAGGTGTTCAGGTTAATTTAAAATCGAGTTGAGTTGACAAATCTCTCGTTTAGGATTCTGTCTTCCTTTATTCTGCCACTGTTTTTATTCAATTGAGTTAAAAAAATATTCAAGGTATATTGTCTAGGTAACAAAAAAATCCTTATCTTCCTTGCTAGAATTTACTACCTTGAAATTGTCCCCACATTGCCTAAAAAAATATTTGTATCTTCTCAATTCTACCATACCCTAAAAATTTTTTGTTTGAACACAATACTTTTTTTCAATTTCGAATGCTCTCATAATAAATGCTCTTTGAGCGCAGAAAACAGCTTAAACTACTCCCACCTCTTAGTGTATTACATAATAGCAAGTAAAGGAAACGAATTCTATATTGACAAGAATGTCATATAATTTCAAACTTTTCAAAAAAAAATTCAAATTTTCTTCCTCAATATTAAGAAAATATGGCAAAGTTAAATAAATTCTTTTGTATTTTCTTACTATACCGTAAAATTGGACACTCTGAACATTATTTTTTTTTCTTTATTTTCGTTTTTTGGCATTGTGTATAAATTTCGTGATCTAAATTAGGTTACAAAAGGGTTAACCAAAAATGCCGATGAGAAAAAAACACAAAAAAAAAAAAAAACAAACACATAAGAGCAACTAAACAGAAAAATTTTTTTTTTTATGAAAATGGCTAAAGATTGTGACGCGGAAATAATTTGAACCTAAGGTAGATGACGCTTATAAGCCGCACACATACTTATAAAATATAAAATGATTGTTTACTATGCGATGAAAGTTTTGTTTTGGCAACAAAAAAGAAATAAAACAACAAAAAAAAATCAAAAGAAAAGAAAAAATTTTTTTTTTTATTCTTCTCTCTTTTTCCAATGGAAATATACGTAAAAGAAAAACTGAAAAAGGAAAAGGAGGACATTAAAAACAAAACAGAAAAAACAAAATTGCAAAATAATAAACCAATATGAATAACGGCTAACTTTACTTCTATACTTACTTAAACTATAATAAATTTAAGTACATATGTACCTATATTATAGTGGTGTGTGTGTATGTGTTTATTCAAACATTATATAACAGTAAATATGAAGTGATGAAATGTCATGTTTGAATTATTGTTTTAGGTACAAAAATAAAAAAACTCTTTTTTCTTAATATATTAATAATAATAATGGAAAATAATTCTCATATTTTTAGACTGATGTTGGTTTAAAAAAAAGATATAAGAGTAAATGAGAGTCAAAAACAGAAAAAAAGAAAGGTTTTTAAGTAATGCTTTTATACCAAACCAAATAAGTAAATTATAATGTTGTAAAAGGATTCTTTAATATTAAAAGGACTTTATAGATTGTTAAAGGATTACAGAGCATATCAAAATATTGAACAGGAAAGAGAAATGTATGAGGCCCATTTGAGGTATTTTAACTGTTGTTTTAAACCTAAATATGGTCGTCAATTACAAAATTGTTTGAATATGTTTGACTTCAATTTTGCGTTAATAATTATAATTGTTTACTCCATTTAGTTTATGCGTAAACAGTTAAAAATATTCAGAACAATAAATTTCTGAATATAGTACACAAAAATCGAATACTATGCATTATAGAACTCATGATTATTATTTAACGAACGAACCTATTTACTGGCATAAAAATTATTTTGTATTCACAATTCGTCTTAGATTGGCTATTAAAATTTAAGATTAAAAATTAATATTTTTAAATATAAATTAGGAATTTTATACATATTAAAAATGTGAGAAACGACATTGACATATTGAATTGCATAATTAGTTGGCAGTCTTCTAGCAAATTACGCAAATCAATGCACTATTGATACGAATAGCATTTTTTGTCCCAAAAATTTAATTACATAAGCTCATGGGCAGTTTACTAAATAGTGGTAATTTTAGAATTATGCAAAATATTACGTAATTTGTGAGATTACAAAAAAAAATATTCGTTCAGTTATAATAATTGTACTTGTAAACAAAAATAAAACCAAATCACGTAAAATAGATAAAACAAAAAAAAAAATTGTTCACGGTTTTCTTTTTAAGCGGTTTAGTACGCAGATAGTAAGTTTTATTTCAAAATTCCTATTGTTATATTATGAAAATTTTAACAGAATTTTATTGAAAAACTCAAAAATGAATAAAATTATTTTGAAAATTATTTTTTTTTTTTTATTAAATTTAAATTGCATTTCAATAGTTCAATGAAATTTAGAATTTACAGTGAATGTAAAATACAAGCTATCTGTTATATAACTATTAAGAAATTAATAATACTTAAGAATAGTAGGTGTTAGATGAAACCACAAAACAGCTTGAAAAATATTAAATTTATTTTATCACCAATATAATTTAACAATAAAATTTAAAATATTCGTAAAAAATGAAATTTATAGAAGAAAATAAGTAATAAAAGTTATTTGATTTTGGCTTTGTTCTATCAATAAATTTTTTATTACAAAAATATTTTAAGTATAACAAAATATAATTAACTATTGATGATTTCTAAAGCTACGTTATGTAACATAAGTAATAAAATAAAAAACATTTTAGGTTCAACTAAGTTTCATAAGTAATAAATTTGTTTAGTCAGGAGAATTTTAGTAAATTAAGATGTTCTCATATTAAAAGTAAGAAAAAGAGAAGCTTCTAGGTACACTTATATATATTAGGTGAACTACCGCAGTAATAGGGTATATTGCGGAAGGTTTTCATATATTTTATTGTTTTTTAGTAAAAATTAATAACAGGTTGCTTATTAATATTTATTCAAACACGAAATTTTTTAATGTAAATTAGAATTCACTTAATGCAATCTACTTAAAATTATTTATAAAAAAAAATAATTTTAAGTAGATTGACAGCTTTTAAATTAAATTTAAACTACAAACAAACTATGTAAGAAACTATTAAATAAATTAATGTTACAATTTCACATTCTGTTAAAATTTGCTCAATACTTTTATTCACTCAGACAAAATTTGATTAATATCAAATTGATCAATCATTTTTTGATCGTTTAGAAACTCTCTTAGATAATAACTGATGGCAACTACCATTTTTAATGAATCTGACGTCATCGGGTAGATGTGAAATATGAAATGAAATAAACAAATTCTTTTTCCTCTCTAAATAGATTTGGAGCCGAAGACGTCATATTTTCAAATATCAAAACTATGAAGTAGACCTTGTTAGTTATTACAGATCATATGTGACTCAATTAATTCGAAAACTATGCATAATAATTTTATTGATATTATTTCTTAAATATCAATGGAAATTGATTAATAAAATAATTTAAATATTTTAAAGTATATAGTTATTAACAATTTGTTATTTAAATATTTCGATTAATTACATCAGATCTAATTAGATAACCAACAATGATATAAAAATTTGAAATATTAGATTATAAATCATTTATTTAATTGATATTAAAGTTTAATGTTAAAAATAATTAATTTATAATTATTATGCAAATTTTTGAATAAAGAAATTAAGCAAACTACTGCAACAATGCAAAATATGAATTTGTTAACTATATTGAAGAGTATGATTTCTTATATATATCAATATTAATTAATTATAATATTAAAAATTGCATTTTAATTACATTTTCATCTCACTTATAATCTAATTTAGTGACATCAATTATTATTTGCCATTTATAATCACTTTATTATTTTATTTTGTGAACTTTCCGAGCAATAGAAATTAATCTAAAAGAATCTGTTCTTAATGTTCTGATCTCAATCTAATTACTTTTGTATATATATTTTAATTCAGTGTTCTTAATTGAAAATTATAAAATTTAATAATCGAAATTTTAGTTTATGAATTGTTCTTTCTAAATTGAATTTCTTGTAAGAAATCTTGGTATCGCTTCAATTTTATTGAATTATTTTTAGGTAATTTTTATTTATATTTATTGGAAACGCGAACAATTAGGCAATCGACAGACCGATTATAATAATATGCCATTAAAAATATTTTAATATCAAAAATATAGTTTTACTGGAAATTTGAAATTCCAGAAATATTTACTGCTTAAACATACGGAAGTGTCCCTAGTATTCTTAAGTTACCTACAATGTTAAAATTTTAAAATATGGAAAACATATATGTAAAACATATATGTGAATCTTATAAAAACTGCAAATCAACTTTTCATATTCTTAAGTCTATAAAGCTTTCAAATCTTGATGGGCTACAATAATAAAAAATTTAATTTTGTGATTTATTAAGTTTTCATTTTAATTAACAAAATAAACTTGTAACAAATTAAATTAATTTTTTCTTTCTTTTCTATTTTCAGGTAAGTCTTAAGTTTATAATTACATACATTTGAATTCTGTGTATTACAATGATTATTACTGACAATAGCATAGTAAGTGTATATTTCATATTTATATATATAAATTATAATAGATAATTTTATAGAATTTTTAATTTACAAAAGTACTGCACGATTTTAAAAGATTTTAATAACGTTTGATTGTTAAATTTGTCATATTATAATTTTCATTATTAATCAAAAATTACAATAAGAATTGCATATTTACCGGCGTTTGATACAGGAAATGCAATTGTTACTGGAAGAGATATTTAATGAAATATTTGTTATAAATGGAATAATATTGAATTACATTCGAGATTTTTGTTTTTAAGACTTATATAAAATAGGAAGAGAGAACCCAAAAATCATAGTAATTCTTCAAAAACCATTATAAATTATTTTTCCTAGGAGGGATATACTATGTCCACAGGGCTGTTGCATGATATCATAGAGGGCAATGTCTCAGTTTTCTAAGTTTAAGCAGGGTTTTAACAAGGTAATTATTAAAAATGCCGTATAATTTAAAGACTAATATTATAGTTCTATTTTATAAACTAAAATTTTGTTGCCTAATATTTTCTTAATATAATTTTATTGGAATTTCTCACAAGTGCATCAAAATTTCATTTCTCCAACACTTTTTTTTTCTCAAAACAAGTTTTTTCTTACAAAAAAACATTCTCGTATGGGAAAAATTTGAATAAACTCATTCACGGTTTACAAACTTAAAATCAATTTTCTCTTATTATGTAAAAATTTTTATAGAGCACAAAACTATTATGCCAGTAATTTATTATTGTGTCTCATTAATTTAATCATGTTGTCGTTTAAAATAGATTTTAATACCTTTAAAAAAACAACTTTCTTATATAATGATTAAAATTAATAAATTTATTAGTAAAAATTTAATAAAATTTATCTATAGCACGTTTGTACCTTTATACAGGTGTAAATGTGAATTTTCAATGACTGTATAGGTAATATTTTTAACAGAACAATAAGACTTTTAATTAATTTTTATTTTTATTTATACTTAATTAATTTATAACAATAATTTTAATCTGAGATGAATCGGAAGATGCTGCTTTAAAAAAAAAAAAAAAAACAAATATATTAAAAAAAGCTTCATTTTAATACTTTTCATATGACAAATAGCTAATTATTTTGTGATTAACTTCGTAATATTTAACAGGTCGAGGTAAAATATAATAATATAAAAAACAAAAACAGAAAAATGTCAAAAAAATGTTGTTTTCTATATTTGTACACTTTTAATTTTCATTTCAAAGATCAAACAAATTAAGTAATTTATTGTGTGTGAAAAGATATTATGGTTTTTATGCTTATTATTTCAAATCTCAACATAAAATATGTAGGGATGTGCAATCCAGTTGCTTTATGGTATTCACGAGTACTCGTTACTTTTTACACATTACTAGGTAATTCTGAAATATGTTCCTTTTTGACGTAATTCAGATTATTCTTAGTATTTTGAGTATTTTAAGTATATTAATGAATAAAACGAAAATATCCCCAATTTTTTCATGCCAAATTAATTAATTAAAATTTTTGTATAGATATTAGCTTTATTTTTATATAATATTTACATAATGCCAACAGATAATGTTAATATAAACGTTACGTAACGTAAATTCTAGATCGGTTAAAAATTATTTCAATTCAATTTTAAATTTTATACATTATATACACCCATAATTGACAGTATTTAAATTTAAACAAAAAACAATTCATAAATTCTCTTCACCTTACACAAATGAGTAACAATATTTCAATATAATCAATATCGCACTTAATATCTACAATTATACAAGAAGAATAAACGAAAAAATTTTAATGTAGTATATGCAAATCTTTTACATTCTTGTAACTCCATTAACCTATGTAACAAAAATAATGTTATACGAATATAATATACGAATTTTTAAAATAAATAATGCTAACAATATAAAGTGGCAATATGACAGATTCTGTATGAGTATTGAGTAACGAGTGCTCTTACCCTGCGAGTAATCAGTTACTTCGAATTCTTGAACCATAGTTAGTATTCGCATACATCTTCAAAAATTTGTCAACAAAAATTAATGTCATTGGAATGGTGAACAAGTCATTTGAAATTTTTTTCGTCCAATAAGGGACAATAATTGTTCTTTAATTATTACTATTATTGTTAATTGTGATATCATAAATTTTATGTTAATGCGCAGTAAGTTGTACATTATAATGGCATGGAAATTACCTGAAGTCTCCTAAACTTTATTTTATATTTAGAGTAAATAAATTTAAAATAACTGTGTACTTATTATAATATGTAGCCATTTTGTATCATTAAAATAGAAGGCCATTATATTACGACTTTACTGTATTATTAAAAATACACGTGCCTTGTTAGAAAAAAAAAATTCGTCTATACAATTTTGTCACACGCTGACCTCAATTTATTTCTTTCAACTACGTACTTATACTTAAATTATTTTAAAACAATACTTAATTTAAATAGGTCCACATTTTACTAGACTATATACCACTTAAGAATTAAGAAATGGTAATAATTTTCTAGACATATCTGAATTGCAATTTTGTTTAATAAAAGTAAACAAGTTGAATTTTAAGATTTTTTTTTTTTTGTTTCTATTTAAATTCTCTAATAAACTTATTTATTTAAATATGTAGAAATTTTCAGACCATTAAAATAATTTTAAGTTCATTCATGATTTGCAAGATCTATATAGAAAAATTTAGAAAATACAAGAAAAAAATTAGAATAAATTTCATTGAGAAATATGAAAATAGAAAATAACAGAATTAAATTATACATACGTGCAAGTATAACAGACATAATAATGTATACAAGCGTGTACACTTTCATTTATAAAGAATATTTTTGTATTCAATATTTTTCTTTAGAGGAAGTACATAGTAATATTTTTGTTTATATATGAAAGAAGACAATAACATAATTAAGTAACAATTCATTCATAATTTTCTTGAATAACGAAATAAATTTACGCGGTTCCGCAAAAGAATATTATTCCAAAAGACAAAGCAAAAAAACTTTCATTCTATTTCTAAAATAAAAAACAAAAACTATATTCAGAACCCAAAACTAAAAATATTGTATTCGAAACTAAATTTATTCAAAAAAACAAAATTATTTTTTACGATTTTCTTATTTTTTTCTACATGTTTCTCGTATTTTCTTATTTAAGAAACAAAAAAAGAACTTCGTATAACATTATAGTATGTTGTAGATCTTTCATATTATTATTATAAAACTTACTATTATAATCGATGAACTTTTCAGGCACCCTTTAAGTATTGTTCACATTTATATCAAAAGAATGAGAAAAAGTAGAAAGAAGAAGTAGATATATGTATATGGAAAAATATTTTAAGTGAAATTTTAATTAATCTGAATTATTTGACTCAATGAGCCCAATTTCAATCATATGAAATAATATCAATTTATTACAAAGTGTTACAACTCCTTCATAATAATATTTGTAATGATATAGCAGAAAATCATATGTGAGGAACACACAATTAATTGTATTAGTTGTGAAATTTATGTTTTTCTTAGAATTTAAAAAAAAAAAATTTAATAAAATTAGAGAATTCGGTATCCACAAGGCAAAACATCTTAAGTCGGCTATTGCGCTTTACTTACTTAAGCAAAATTAAAATTAAAAATTGTCCTCTTTGAAATGGGACAGTAATAATTATCTAACCCGATTCTCTAAAAAAACATGGTAATTATCCCAATGTTAATCTAAGTCGAGATGTAAATAATATTGAGAATTATGTTTTTTAAATATTGTCTCAGAAATTAGAGCCAAAATTTGAAATTGATATGATCCAGAACAAATATCAAGTAGCCAGGATTCTATATAAAATCGCCAGTGAAGTAGACTGTGGCTGTTATATACGTGACAATAGCTCTACTTCTTTTTCCTTCAAAGCCTTATTCTTACAAAATTCCTTTTAGTCTGCCGTATTTAAAATTTATAATATAGATTCACATATGCGTACATGTATATATATATATATATATATATATATATATATATATATATATATATATTGAATTATATAAGATGTGTATAATTTTCTATAAATAGCTATAAGTTATGATTAAAGTATTTGTTAATATAAAAATGTTAATTTTTAGGACCGATTTATTTAACAAAGCCTTAGAATACTTTTAAGTTACGTAAAAACAAGCAGACCAAAATATTAAAGAAAAACAAATCAAATATACGTAAATTTTTGGTCAATTTTACATAATCGTATTTAATTTAAATTTATTTACTTTATAACATTGACCGCATTTATTTGACCCATTTTTATATTACACATGCCATACAAAATTATAAAGGAAAAATAAAAAACAATTTTTATTATTTAAAATTACAAATGGAGAATAAATGATAAATAATAAATGAGCATGAATTTTTTAAATATAAATTAATTTATTTTAGATACGATAAACTTTTCATATTTAACATAATTAGATACACGCATAAAATATAATGTAGCAATTAAATTTTTGTTCAATTATTTTATTCTAAGTTGTGTACATAAGAAGCAAAATTTTTAATATACTAGGCTGCAATATACGTATAGGATATTACGTATAAAACATTTTATAATATATATAAGCGAGAAACTAAATGTAAATGCTTATCTTACTTTCGTTCCAACTCCACGTTCTTCTCATCAAGATTTTAATCAAATAAATTCTCTATTCAATATTTTTGATATTTTAAGATTTATTACAAAAAAAAAAATTAGAAATATTAGGGTAACTCACTACATACATTACTTAGTGTAGCTCATGAACTGAATCGAAGTTTTTATTCATTATATCCTCGATGTTGAGGCTAATTCTAACTATCGAATCACTAAGTGATTCCGATATTTTATCGTAAAAATTTCAAAAATTTTATTATAGACACAAATCATCTGTATGAATTGGTTTGTGTTTACAATAATAATACCGAACTATTTACGATAATTAAAGCCTTATCATTCTATATTGCAATAATTTTTGAAGAGAACACAAAATTGAGTTTTTCTTTTAAATTTCAAAATTTAAATTTTAAATGGCTGGAGGAAAATTTTTATATTTCAAAATAGATTTGATAAACATTAAACGGATTCGGGGATACCATTTTGCAGGCTATTTCATATAGAACGCTTCATTTAATCCTTCAATATCGTAAATACAATTTTATCATCCTCTTTACTACGTCACAATATTATAAAACCATACCACTGTTTTTATATTTCACAAAATTTCCCCATTCACAGTCATACACGACAATTTGGTTGGCATATTTTAAAAAATATTAAGTATATGCATCCAGTGTAGATTGAATAAATATTGAAGCACCCAGCGTGTACATAAATCGGTAAATAACATAAATATTTACTGTTATATTGTGTATAACAGAGATATTGGATTTTACAATTAGATCAAATATCTGATATACGAGTACAACTTTTCATTTATTAAAATCTTAAATTTTTCCATACTTCTCTTATGGCTAGAGGAACACGCTTATATACCTTTTTACACTTGAATTTTAGACTTTTAAATTAAGTTGTTCTTTTTTGTTTGATATCGTAATCCATTTATATATAAAAGTAGGTACACAAGTTAAAGTTGA